GGTTTTTATTCAACAAGGCGACCCAGCCTCTGGGCAGCGGCTGGGACCCGGGCGAGTCGCGCTAGAGGTAGTTCTCAGAAAGCCCAGGCCCGCCCTTTCGGGACAGTGCTCTGGCCGGTGAGCGAGGCTGGCAAGCAGGGGCGTGACCTGGGGCCCGTTCCCGATCCTCGGGCCTGACCCGCCTGTGACCCCTGCAGGCCGGACCGTGACATCCGAGTGAACTCTGCGGGGCCACCTCGCCAAGTTCAGCGCGCGCTGGGTCACAAGATGAGCCGGACCTGCGCGCTGGAAATTGCCACAAAGGAAAAATTTTCTTTAAATCTGTCAGCCCAACGAGACCAGCGGGAGTGTCCGGCAGGAAAGAATTAACTGAGGGTGGAAAAATTATTAAAGAACATCTTGAAGTGGGGGGAGGAGGATCAATAAATTACTAGCCCAATAAGAACTTTGATCTAGGAACCTCTCCAAGCTTTCTCCCTGTGATGGGCGGGTAGGAGGGTTGGTTCACTGAAAAACAAAATGTTTCCAGGATGTTTACAAAACAGCCCCCCCCAATCATCATAGATGGATGGTTTGTTGGAGGGTCTGGGCAAGGAGGGGTGAGGTCCCAGAGGTAGACTAGATCTGGAAAAAGTAGGGCAGAGGAAGCACCCCTCCTTCTTCTCCCCTTCCAGCCCCTCCTTCTAGTCTCCAGTACACTTTCCTATCTCTTGGTTCAAAACCTGGGGTGCCCCTCCCCAGGCCACTGCGGGCTGGTTCCCACCATCTCAGAGAATTCTTCCCTGCCCGCCCAGCTGAATTCAGTCCCAGGCCTCTGTCCTGCAGCCGGCTGATTTCCTTTGCAGCATGTTACCCTGGACACGTTCTTCCTGTCCGGTTGCTGGCGTATTCACTTCTCCCCAGCATTTCAAGTCCAGGGAGGCAGGAACCTTGTCTACCCCTCCCCTAGAGCAATCAGAGCTGCAACCAAAGCAGCTCGGATACTCCACTCCGCAGAATTATGGTAAAAGTGGAGCCACCCTAGGGGCCTTACGGTTAACCTAGACCCAGAGGAGGCAAACCCAGTCTCCAGGAACCAGCTGAAATGTTCTTGCTTTCCAGAGGCAATGTCCTCACACTAGTTTTCCCCCAAGTCATCATCAGCTCTGAAGTTCCCACCCTCCTCACCGACTGTCCTCTGAGAGGTCACAAAGCTCCCTGAGGGCAGGCCCAGGTCCTGCCACCTCTGAGGCCTGCAGACCTCTGGGCCTGGCACCTGGCCTGTGACCAGCAATGGGTGATGAACCCTGATATGGGGGGTTTAGGGCTGTACAAGTCGGAAGTGCCTGCCTTAAGCCCTGGGATCCACCTTAAGCGTAAGGTCAGAAGGGCACCAGCTTCCTTCTGGTTCACTAAGAGGTCAGCTCCGGCCTGGGCCTGGGAGGTGACGACCCTGGCTCACCCACTCATCTGGCTGCCCAGGCCTGTCAGAGAATGGGTGGCAGATTAGGTGGGCCCTTGAGACTGACAACACAGAGGTCTTGGCTTTGATTTAAACACTGATGGGAACTTCTGGGTTGCAAAGGTGGAAAGTGTCCTTACTCAAGCTAGGAGTCTCTGTGGAAAGGTATAACCTGAGACCTCCATGGTGGCCACAAGTTCGGAGGTTGGGCGGGGGTGGGGGGTAAGCCATGGGGTGGAGAAGAGCACTGGCTAGGGAGTCCAGGAACCCAATATTGGTCCCTCCAGTCAATCATTTGCTCCTAAATTATTAACATTACAAAGGAGAATGGGATAGGATGTTGAAGCAGTAAAACCCGACATCCCTGCCAGGAGCTGTTAGGTGCCACTGAGATCATTTGCAGCCCAGTCTGGTTCAGGAAGCAAGTTGTGGGCGCCAGTGCCTGAGGCTGCAGGGCTCCCAGCCCCTCCCCGGGTGCGGGTGCGCAGTGGGACGGGTCCTTCCGACCTCCCTCAACCTCCATTCTGCTAATTCCCACTAGGGAGCAGAAAGCAGAAGCCCAGTCAAGCCTCTAGCCTCCAGGCTCAGCGGTTGCCAGGAAACTACGTCCTGTCCTTCCTGGGTT